AACAGAAGAGAGATTCAGTTTAGACGCAGACAATAACTTTGTATGAAATAGCAAGACAGACATTTGAGAAGTCTTTGTCTAACCCAAATTAATAGAAAAAAGATAATCATCGTCTTGTGGGGACACCGTTAATATCTTGCTGAAAAATAAGAGAAAGCACTAAAATACCTTTCCAAGTTACTTGTTATAGGTTATGTTATTATGACTAACATTGCTTCTGAGGAAATGCAATTAATTTTTTTCCTGTTGGATGCTGATTCTATCTTTGAACCTTGACGGATCTTTCTGAATAGTGTGTATGAATACTGTGCTTTATTCACATCCACTAGTGCACCATTCTCTTCCTTCCTTCTTCCTTGCATATACATTTCTAGGAGGCATGAAGATTAGAAGAAAAAATTATCAAAAAACATAAAAATAAAAACAACCCAACTCTAATACATTTCTGGCTCAACTGGAAATGTAAGAAACTATAATTTTATTCTCATGGCCTAATTTTGTCCATGCTGTTTAAAACCATTAAGTGATTATAATTTTGAAAAATACCAGAAAAGCATAGTACATCTGTTCTTTCAGCTTACGTTACAGAGCAGAAGAGGCTTACGACATCTTGATAGCAGGACCTTATATTTTTAGCATGTCTCCATTAAGGGAGTGACGTCTACGTGGCAGGCGAGAATGACATGATGCTTTGGGTTGGGTGACAAAACTTAACGACCGTTTTGTCAAAGTGGGAGAAGAGCCCACTTTGCTATTTTGCTTGCTCTATTTTTGAATGGAAAGGGCTGCAATTGAAGAAGCAATATGGTCTGGGGCAAAATTATATGATAATGGTGCATAATAAATAGCGGACTCTGAGTGTGAAATTTAATGCAGTATCTGCCCGCACCGAAGTGTTAACATTAAAAATCAGACACAAAATGGATTTTTGTCTTTTCAAAATGCATCTTTATCGTCACTCAAGAGGTGATCCTAGAGTCAAACATCTCTTTATTATGATCAGGAAACTTCCAGTCTGCAGACTTCCAAATTCTTTTTAATGGGAATTAAACCACACCAAAAGGTTTTGTGACTATTTGAGCAGTCCTGTTCTGGGGTACAGGCTAAACTTTACTCAACTTTTTAGACTAAAAAGTTGCACCGTACATTGGGAACTTTCAATGAGAACAATCGATATCTCATTTGCATTCGGGCTGCTATAAAATGAATACAAAACCTTAAAATTCATAATCAGAAATCTGTAAGTCCTTTAAACCTTCTTCATGCTGGAAGATAATAAGTAAAGTACCTTTGGAATAACAGCCCCTTAATTTCCAGCCTTTGTCAGTAACCTCATTTTGGTTGTATAATAGTACCCACCTCCCTAACTCCAGTCAATGCAAAATCATTTCTGAAGGATAAACACACATTGTAAACTCAAACATGAGTTTAAGGTAATCAATAACAACTAGGAAAAAGAAGGGACTGTATGTGCTGTGAAATCTGTGACTGTAAGAACCCACAGGTCAACAGATTGGATTTATTTGACCCTAACAGCAGCTGAACACAAAGCAAAGCAGTCATGGCTGCTTTATTGCCTCAGTAGTTAGGCACACAGGAGTGCTTGGAAATCCATCATGGATACGGAAGTAAGAAAAGCTGGCCGGGCACAGTGGCTCATGCCTGTAATTCCAGCCCTTTGGGAGGCTGAGGTGGGTGGATCGCTCGAGATCAGGAGTTTGAGACCATCCCGGTCAACATGGTGAAACCCCGTCTCTACTAAAAAAAAAAAATACAAAACATTAGCTGGGCATGGTGGCGTGTGCCTGTAATCCCAGGTACTCAGGAGGCTGAGGCAGGAGAATTGCCTGAACCCAGGAGGCGGAGGTTGCGGTGAGCCAAGATTGCGCCATTGCACTCCAGCCTGGGTAACAAGAGCGAAACTCCGTCTCAAAAAAAAAAAAAAAAAAAAAAAGAGTGCTTTTAGACAGATATTTAAAAAAATTGATTTACATACTCCTTGTGTATGGAATATAATTTAACTTTTTAATGAACAAGTTTGAATGTCAGAATTGAGGGACTAGCACTTAAGTGCTGTAATCAAAAACAAGGGGAAACAGTATCTTCTTCTCTCCCCTACCCACCAGATGTGCTTTTCTTCACGTTGCCATGCATCAAGTTGCCTACGGGAGAAATATGAATGTTATCATTGATCCCCTCCCCTGCCATCCAATCAGCTATGTTATCTGAACGCCCCTTTAAATGCCTGCTCTTTCTTTGCTAATAATACTGCTATAGTCCAGGCCACTAGTATTTCCTTGAAAAACGATAGGAAGAGTTTTCTGATGGGTTTCTCTGCCTTTATGTAGTTTGACCACCCTGAAGTTCTTTTCCATTTTATAGCCAGTGATCCTCCTAAAAATGCGTATCTGATCGAATCACTCCTCTGCTGAAAACCCTTTCGTGCTGCCTACCGCACTCAGAATAAAACCCAACTACTTAATGTGGTCTCTTTACAGGCCCTGTATGGTTCAGTCTCTATTGCTTGCTTTTTGTCTGCTTGATCTAGCTGTTTCTGACTGTTAAACTCTCTCATTCATACGGTGGGCTTGTCAATTTATCTTGGTAATCCTAAAGGTTTTGCCTTGTATAATGGAAAGCTATGTTGTTAGGTACATTAAACTTCTTGGTAGTGACCCTCTATTTCTATTAACACATTTGATTTAAAAGACTATTTTTTTTTTGGTCTGAAACTAGTAATGCTTCATCGGCTTTCTTTTTGTGTGTATTTTGATAATTTATATTGTCTTTTTGTTTAAGTTTTGCAGGGTGTTTTTGTCTTGTTTTGAGATAGGGTCTCGCTCTGTCTCCCAGTCTGAAGTGCAGTGTCAGCATCAACCAACCTCCGTGGCTCAAGAGAGTCTCCCACCTAAGTAGCCGGGACTATAGGTGCATGCCACCACACTAGGCTGACTTTTGTATTGTCCGTAGAGATGGGTTTTTGCCACGTTGCCCAGGCTGGTCTTGAACTCCTGGGTTCATGATCTACCTGCCTCTGCCTCCCAAAGTGCTGGGATTACAGGTGTGAGCCACCACACCTGACCTAGTTTCGTGCTGCCAAGCTGATAATCTCTGTCTTTCAAAAGTAATTTAAATCTGTTTAGTTACTGTGTTTATTAACACAGATTGGAAATTATTTCTACGTTTTTGTATATTTGTTTTCTTTGCTACAACTTTATTCTTTTAAAGCTGTTTTTGCTTTTCATTAAGCTGCCGGTTTTCTACATTGGATCTCCCCAACACTTGGCCACTCTTTCCTCTCTGCTTATTTAGAAGCTCTAGATGATATTTTTATTAATATAAACTATCTTAAATTCAAGGTATTCACAGAAGCCAGGGACAGTGGCATGTTCCTGTAATCCCACCTACTTTGGGGGCTGAGTCAGGAGGATCTATTAAGCCCAGGAGTTCAGAGCCAGCCTGGGCAACATAGTGAGATTTTGTCTCTGAAACTAGAAAGCAAAACGAAACCAAACCCAAAGTCTTCAGACAAAGTCATTATTTCTAGCCCTCTTCTGAACAAATAGGACAAAGACCTTAGCTTATGTTACTCCTTTTACACTTCTTTCTCTCACGTTTTTAAACAAAAAGTGGTTATTATTTTTAATTCTACCACATATTTTAATTTTTTCCCTCACGAGTATCTCTTACATGTTTTCCCTCTGGACTTATTTTTCTTTTGTAGTTCTTTCAGGGGCGATGTGTTGGTAGTAAGGTCTCCTCGTCTTTTATGGTTGAAAATGTCTGTTTTGCCTTCTTCCTTAAGTGACAGTTTATCTGGAAATCAGTTTCTTGGCTGATAGTGTTTCATTCATCACCGCTACCATTCAGTTGTCTTCTTGTTTCTATTGTTGCTTTTGAGGAATCTAGTTATAGTTCCTTTGTAGATAATCAGTACTTTTTTCCCTTTGGTAACTTGTGATTTTATCTTTATTGTTCTGTACTTTCACTATAATGTGACAGGAGTGTTAGTTTACCTTTATCTATGTGCTCAGTACACATGATGTTCTGATGTTTTCATGAGAAAACCTCAGCCATTTTTTTTTTTTTTTTGTAGATGGAAAATTTCACTCTTGTTGCCCAGGCTGGAATGCAATGGCATGATCTCGACTCACTGCAACCTCTGTCTCTGAAGTGCAAGCGAGCATGCCCAGCTAATTTTTTGTATTTTTAGTAGAGATGGGGTTTCACCATGTTGATCAGGCTGGTCCTGAACTCCTGACCTCGGGTGATCCACCCACCTCACCCTCCCAAAGTGCTGGGATGACAGGCCTGAGCCACCGCACCCGGCCAGCCATTTCTTTTTCTTCTCTGCTCTTCCTTCCAGCGTTTCCTTTCAGAACTTGTACTCTACATATGTTGGAGCCACTCAATCTAACCCCAGGAATCTGAACTTTTTACACTTAAGAATCCCTTTATTTTTCTAAACTCTGTTCTGGGTGAATTCTTCAGTACATCCCTTTAATTCACTACTTTATCTCTTCAACTTTGGTTAGCTCCAGAGATCTTTTGATTTCAATGACCATATTTTTATTTTTTAAGATTTGTATTAAATCTTTTAAGACTAAATTTAAGATTTGTATTAAAATTTTTATTTTTTAAGATTTGTATTAAATCTTTTAAGACTAAATTTAAGATTTGTATTAAAATTTTTATTTTTTAAGATTTGTATTATTATGTTTCAAGATTCTTTTTCATATTCACCTGTTTCTTAATTCAGTCTGTATGTGTTCCTTAATGTCTTGTCCTTTTAAAATGGGTGCCGTGTATTCATTTATTGCATATCGAATTCAAAAACATTTAATTAAAAAAATTTGCCAGATCGTCCCGTAGAATTATTTGGAGCAAACACATGTTGTGAGTATTCATTGTGTTGCTATCTTTCATAGTATTAGATATTTTTATGTCATTGAAACTTGGTGGTCAGGCTCATTTTGAGGGGAAGTTTTAATTTGTTTTCCTTGTTTTTTTTCTCTCACTCCCACTGGGCTCACCTCTCCATGTTTAGTGATTTCGCCTCCACGTGTCTCCCCAACCTCCATTCTAGAATTAGATCGAAAGCTGGCATCTCGCCCCTGTCCCAAGTGATGCCACAGGCCGAGTCACACAGCCAGCTGCTTGGCTTGGTTCCCGATTCCAAGGCTGTGTCTTTGCTCTTCCACTTCTCCAGGTAGTGGGTCGGCAGCGGTTTATTTTTAGCCTTCTTTCAGGAGCTCCTGGCTCCTGCCCTCAACTGAGTTTGAAGCGTCTGTATTTCCTTTCACCTTGCAGGAGACGAAAACCTTGGCATTTGAAGCCGAGGCCCCAGTGGGCTTGTAGCTTCAGCCTTGCTGAATGCTTTCTGTTTTGGTTCCACTTTAGATCCATGAAAACGTTCATTTTGTTCTTGAGCCTGGTTATGTCTTTCTGGTTTTCTCTATTTTTTAGCCATCATTTCTCTTTGTGTGGAGGAAAAGGAGAAGATCAAAGCATGATGTTACTGCACCAGGTTGAGCAGAAATACTTCTGTGTGGACTTCTCCATCTTTATCTGTCACCACCGCTTCCTTACAGTTTATGTTCTAGTCATAATGAACTACTTTCAGTGTCCAGAGGGTCAATAAATTGCATGCCTGTCTCCCAACCCCCAACTTTGGATGAAATAAGACAAGAGGAGACAGTCAAATGGAGACTTTAAAAAATTGATATCTATATTATATCAACCTACCCTTATGCTTCATTACAGATAAGCTAATAAAATGAGGTTCCAAATCTGTTGCCCCAAAGGGCTTGCCAACAATCTCTGCTGACTCGCAGTCCCCACAGAATTCAGTCCTGGAACAGCCCAGTAACGGGGAAGTTTGGGTCTGCAGCCAAATCATGTTTATCCAAGATCACTGTCTGCACTGATCTAGGGCAGAAAGGTTAAAAAAAGAATAAATGTATTAGTTCCACCCAATCAAGGGCTATGAGCTAATGAATGTAACAGCAGTCACCAATCGAGTAACTCACGCCTGAGTGTGAAGAACAGTGGTGTAAGCCAGAACTAGTACTCCAGTAGGGAGTCCCCCCTCCTCCCACGGAAACATGGTGCAAAAGGACAGGAGGTTCCCTTAACACACAGGCCATGCTCTTTTTCATTCTTCTGTCTTGTCTTTTTCCCTCCCTGCCTCCCTCACTCTCTCCCTCCCTCCCTCCCTTTTTTCCTTCCTTCATTCCTTCCTTCCTTTTTTCCCTTCTGCCCTCCCTCTCTCCCTTCGTTCCCTTTTCTTTCTTTTGACAGAAGGTCTTGCCAGGTTGGAGTCCACTGGTACGATCACAGCTCACTGCAGCCTTGAACTCCTGGGCTCAAGCTACGGAAGAGGAAGTTTCCTTAACATATGCCATGCTTTTTCTCCTTCCTCTATTCCTTGCCTCCTCGCTTTCTTCCCTCCCCTTCCCTCCTCCCCTCCCCTTCCTTTCTCTTCCCTCTTTTCTTTTGAGACAAGGGCCTGCTCTATCACACTTTGAACTCCTGGGCTCAAACTATCCTCCAACTCAGCTTCTGAGTAGCTAGGACTATAGGTGCACACCACCATGCCTGGCTAATTTTTATTTTTACTTTTTATGGAGATGCAGTCTCACTACGTTGCCCAGGCTTCCAAAGTTGGGATTACAGGTGTGAGTCACTGCACCTGGCCCCTCTAAGTATTTTCAAAGGCTCTTCCTTCCTCTATCTGCCAGCTCTTGCTTTTTCTAACGCCTAAAATAAAAACAATAGTTAATACTGATTGAATCCCAACTATGGGGGCAACACTACCACATACATTATTGAGTTTAATCCTCAAACAACTCTATGAGGTATGTATTTTTATCTTGATTCTGTGGATGAATAAACTAAGAGCAAGTAAAGCAAATGGCAGAGGCAAGATTAGGCCCAGGTTTCTCCAGCGCCAGAGCCCATGTTCTTTTCATCACATACAGCTGCCTCTCATGTTTTATTCATCTCTGGATGCCTAGAACACAGCATAACACCAACTGAGAGAGAGTGCTCAACAATAATGAATGAATAAATACATGTCAATGAAACATATTCTCAAACTAGCTGCCTAGAGGAGATTTAAAACACTTTAATATAAAGATTTATAAAGAACGCCTAACCTCTTCTGGAGTCAAATTCCTTTTCATAAGGGTGGTATGAGGATCCAGCTTTGAAGGTTTCTGTAGGGGTTGCTAGGTTTCATATACCTCTGTGGTCACATCTTCCCAGCCCTCTCAATTTTAGGTTTTCTTCCCCTGGCTGAGCAAAGAGACATCTTATCTCTTGGTTTCATTCTGCTTTTGTCCCTGGCCCAAGCTTGTTGCCTACCTTAAAGAGTGGGTTCCTTCTGGTCCCTGATTTCTTATACTTTAAAACTACTGAAACTTCACATACGCCTACCAACCACAAAACCTCCATGTAGAGATATGCTGTGTATTAATCAAGACTCTTGATTGTAAGCCACAGAAACTAATTCTGACTGAAAAGGAAGTGGACAGGCTTATGTAACTGAGAAGTTCAAAAGATGAACTAGCCTTAGATATACCTGGATTCAGAGAAACAGATTTACGATGAGCCCAGGGAAGTTTAAATTTCTGGATTACTAATTGCTTCATTCTGGGTTGGGCTCTGGAAGAGCCTAGCAAAGTGTTTTCATAATCATGTTTCTTGAAATCTTGTAAAAATAAAATATTTCAATCATGATTGGTTAAGATGGTGGCTTCTTTGCTACTCTGATTTCCTATCCATCACACTGCTCCACTGGTCACACAGGTTGGGTGGTGGTGGTGCGGTCTCAGTATATTAAGACATACTCACTTGTAATAGAATTCAGTTTAGCAAAATCCACTTTTATAATTCATTTTGTATTGTTTTTCTTAGAGGACTCCTCAAATTATGTATGCTTCTGGCCCCACAAGACCCAGATCCACCCGTGCCAAGGGTTCAAGTGATACCATGTGGATACTTTCCCTCTCAGTGTCTAAGCTCTTTGCTTACGTTTGCTCTGTTAGTAGCGAACTTCCCCCCATGGTGGCAAGAAGGTCACTGGCAGCTCTAAGGTTATAGCACGCTCAGGGCTGGTAATTCTAAGGAAAAGAGATGCCATGTTTGTTGATGACATCAGGAAATAACCTAAGGAAGGTTCAGATTAGCTTGGTTTGAGTCACTTGCTCTTCTCCAAATCAATCATTATGGCCAGGGAAATGTGGAATACAAGTTAGTCGAATCTGGGTAACATCCCTGGATCCAGTTGATTGTGGGAGCAAGTGCTATGGTGGGTGGTTGAGAGGTCATCCCAATCTAGACCCATAGACTAAGACTGAGGAAAAGAGAGTTTTCTAAAGGGATGCCAGGCGAACTGAAATTTCTTGTTTCCAAGTCACACCAACACTACAACCATCAGCAGCCTATTATTTTGAATAGAACAACTAAGTCTTTAGAGCATTTTAGAAACAATAACTCATTTGATCCTTAAGCAGTCCTATAAAATAGGTAGGGACTATTATGTTTTATAAATAAGGAAACTCAGTAAGAAGTAGAGCTAGGTTTGAAATCCATGTCTTTTGACTCCTAGTTCAGTAGTCATAGACATTTAAAGAGCTCATTTTATTAACGGATTTAAAGAAGTAGAATATTGCCTGAAATGAGGGTACCCCCCGTGAAAGCACAGATACACCGTCTATGTCTTTTGATTACAGAAACATGTTGACGATGCCCATGAGTTGTTCTGAACCCATTTTACTTGTGATATAATAGCACTGCCCCACCATTCTCACTTTCCCAGCTCAAGAGTGTCGGGAGACTAGGGCCAGGCAAGCTATTTACTGGAAGAGCAGAGCAAGAATAGTTCTGGGTAAATGACAGGAAAAACCAGCTATGGGTGCCTGTGCATGTTCTGCTCCCTAGGCTGGAGCACGACCCTTCTCTTATGGTTCATTAAAGGCTCAGCTCAGGTGACGCTGGATCCCAATCCACCTCCTCTCACCCTGGTGCCCGTTCAGTGTTTCTTTCCGTAAAGCCCATGACACTTTGTTCCAACAGCATTCTTCCCAGTGTCTCGTAATTGCCAGTGTTCATGTATTTCTCCACACCAGACTGCAAGCTCACTGAGCATAGGATTCTGACTTACTTCTCCAAATCCCTAACACCTAGTACAGGATCTGTCAACTAGCAGTCCTCCAACAAATGAGTCTTTTATAAGCAAATGAGCCTCAAGTACTTTGGGTAGGACAGGCAGCCAAGCGTCCTTGGGTTTGCTGACGTTCATGGATCTAACTTGAGGGCTTCATAGCACTCAACTTCAGTTTGTCCCTGACCTCTGAGGAAAATCGTCACGGAGGAGAGCAAGAGTGGAAGGAGCAGGACGGAGGCCTGTTATTTTCCTACATATTCAGTGGTCGCGTCCAGTCATTTCTCCTCTAACATCTTCCTTAGACATTTTGGGCGCTAGCTGGATCAGGTTACTGAGTAAATCAAAGCCTCTTTTTGCATACCAGCTGGATTTTTTTCTCCTGTAGCACATTACTTCAGTTTCGCTTAAGACAGAGCTAGATACGTGTGTGTGAGTGTGTGTGTGTACATAACAGGTGTCAAATGGTTTCAATAATAGAAAAGTCAACATATGGTTGAACAAATACAAGTAACTTTTTTTTTTTTTTTTAATTTAAAAGATGGGGTTTCACCATGATAGCCAGGCTGGTTTTGAATTCCTGACCTCAGGAGATCCACCCACCTCTGCTTCCCAAAGTGCTGGGATTACAGGCGTGAGCCACCGTGTCTGGCCAAATACAAGTAACCTTCACATTGCAATACATGAGTGGGTCTTAGGAGTGGTCCTTTAAATCTGTAGGAGTAAATTTTGTTAGTAACTTATTAATTCTAATTTCTAAAATATTTATGTGAATCTGTAAAAGGGAAATCATCACTTTGGAATCTCTGATCAAAGCTTAACTGCTCTTTGCAAATGAAATATTCTCTTTAGATTATCTGGAATGATCCTTCCCTGTTGTAGGTGTATACACACATACACACACACACAAAACAGGCCGCACAGTGTTTCTGCTGACTGCCCTAAGATGGCCCGGTCTATGTATTCATCTTGATCCCACTTAGTCCACCTATCTGAAATCTGACCTTAACTTTTTCAGGTACCAGTTCTTTTATAACATTTATTTAACTGTAAATATAATACAACAGTATACAATGGAGAAAATCATATATAATACCAGTATCTCAACAGATCAGTTGCGATCTTCTCCAAATATTCCGTCTTTTCTTGTTTTTAAGTGCATGTAGTCACAATTAGTGAATACATTTGCAACTTGCTTTTTTAAACCAATATGATTCTTTAAGAACTCAGACTTGTCTGAAGAGTTGGTAATACTATGTATACAACATTCTGGTTGCTGGTGTAGGAGTGTAATAACTGACGGTTACCATCAACGACTTTAAAACTGCAGACTGCATTTGGACATCTGCAATAACCCCTAATTTAAATTTTTACTCTCAAGAAGGAAAAATGAATTTTGCAAAACAGACAAGCAAAGAAAGAGGAGGCTTCTCCATCAGCCATGAGGTCTTACTTGCTTAAGTCATACTTGTCAACTAGGTTATGTCAGGTTTCATGATTGACATCTCTTGTGGCTAAGTTTGGTGTCAAGCTAGGTAATATTTAAAGATTTATATAACTTGCTATTTCATTCAGAGTTCAATATTTATTTCCCCTAAATGACCTCAACAGTAGGAAAACTGTCTGTTCTTTTTTTCTTTGGCTGATAGAGTCTCAACATTAGAGACTTATTCTTAAATTTGGCACATTTTATAAAGACACACTGGGAAGGCAGAAAGTTTCTTACATCTACTCCTCACAACTGTCCATCACAAATCTCAACAGGGACTGGACACTTCTTGCTTACCAGTCTCCCTTGGTGAACTGGTGAGAGGTGAGTCCCCCTCAACATTTTTACTTTTTATTTGGTGAAGCAGGGTCAGTGACAATGACTTCTTTTGTCATGTTAGATATGCAGAGCTTCTAGAAATAGTGCAGACTGGGAGACTGGAATGTAGTTACGAATTGTACCAATGAACCTGAGACTTTTTTGCCTGGTTTTTAAGCAAGGGCCTCCTCTCCAATTCCCAGCCATCAGTAAAGGATGTGTACAGGAAATGGCAACATTAGAACAGAAACAATCAGTAAGTAAACCGGATGCAAGAGTCTACCTACCTTGCAAGGAAATCTTTTGCACTCAATTACGACATGGCTCTTCTCAATACTAGGGAGAGCAGAATTGATTCAGACTGTTTTTAGGCCTGAATGTAAACAATATTGTTGTCTTTTTGGGTTTCAGCACCTCCTTATTCGTCTGTATTACCTCTTTTATGGGAGGGGTGGTGGTGGTGAGGAGTGTGAAGACAACGGAACGTGCCCCAGACACTGAACCCCAAGGAGGCGTCTGTCATATGGGGGGGGGGTCCTAGATTCCTCCGAAAAAAAGCGCAGCTTAAGGAGCAGGCTCACCATTTTAACACGGAACCTGGCACACGTTTCTGTCTCTCCATGAATGGAACCTCGGGTGCCCAACAACGTGAGCATGGGCTGCATGGACGTTTGAGACCCTGTGCTGAGTCCTGTCGCCTGATGGTCTGTAATTGAAGACAAGACTTCACAGAGCCACACTCAACGTTAACCTAAGCCGTTAACTCCAGTGACCCTCAATTTCAGCAAAACCTTGGCGACCCAAGCCCTCGCTCCCTCTCGTCCAAACGCCAGGTCAACCCCACGAACTGGCGGCGGCAAGGCCCTGGGCACCGATGGAGTTCTCGGGGCAGCGCAGATCCGCGGCGTCCTCTTCTCTGGCGCTCAGCGGGCGGCAGCAGCAGGGCGCTTTCGGGCTGCAGGAGCCGGCGGCGGCACGAGGCCCGGGCGGGGCGGGGGAGGGGCGGCGGCGGCGGGGCCGGGAGCGTGCGCGCGCACCTCATACTCCACCGCCGGGGACGCCCACTCGCGAGTCGGGGTGGGTAGGCAGGCCCGCGCCCCGCGCCCCGCGCCCCGTCGCCCCGTCTCCCCAGCCCTCCCGTTCCTCTCCGGCGTGCGCCCAACGGGTGTGGGCCCAGCAGCTGCTGCGCTCACCAGGCCTGGGAAGGCAGGACGCGAGGAGCAGGCCGCAGCCCCGCGCGGGGGTGGGCGCGCTGCCTCTCCCGCTGCCTCTCCCGCCGCCGCCGCCAGGGCGAGCCGCTGTGAGCCACCAGAGACGGGCGGAAGCCCCCGCGGCCGGGCGGAAAGGAGACCCGGCCGACCTCTGCGCGCCCGCGCGCCCCCGGCCTCCATCCGTCCCGGGGCTGAACGAGGCATGAGCCGGCGCCTGCCCCGGGATCTCGGAGCGTGGGCCGCGGCTTGCTTTCTTCCCATGCCGCGGATGCGCGGGGTTCGGCCGCTGCGGCCGGTGGCCTAGCTCGGGGAGCAGGCGCCGGGGTTCACCACCCGCCACGGAGAGGAGGCGGCGGAGGAGGAGGAGCCGGGCGGGGGCGGTCGCCGCGCCTGCCCTCCCCGCCGTACACGCCGGGGCTTCTCAGTGGCCGCCGGAGGAGGAAGTTCCGCTCCCTGCCAGACCTGTGCGGTAGCAACAGCGGCGGCGGCCGCGGTGCCGGGCCGGGCTCGGGTCTTCCGGAGGCGATCGCCCTTGGCGCCAGCCGTCCAGTGGGCAGCGTCGGAGCTCAGCCGGGCACCGGACTCCTGCCGGGCGGCCCGTAACTCCTGCCTGCGACTTCGCCCGGCGCTGCCGCCCCGGCTTCCCGGGGAGGTGGGAGACCTTCCTCGCTGCTGGCGGAGGTCCGTGGGAGACCCTTAGTTTCTCCGCCGCGGAGGTTAAGAGGTTCTGGAACAGAAGCGTCGAAGGAGATCAAGTGAACCTTCTGCAGTTGTTCGGATGCCGCGCGGCTCCCTTTCGGGGCGGAAGGCTGCGTTGGAGCATCTCGCGGAGGCGCAGGAATGGAAGCACCCACCTTGCCGCTCTTCTGCAGCGTGGCTTGCCTGATCTACCCCTAGGAAGGAAGAGGAGGCTTCTAACAACCCGATGAAGAGGACCTCGCCGGACATTAACTTGTGCTCCTTTAGGGGAGGTCACGCACGTTTCTGAGTGGAAATGGGCGTGAAAGGGGTGTCCTCTTAAAAAGCACAGCAGTCCTTCAAGAGGAGCGAAATTGAGTTTTCCCATTTCTGCCAAGACAGTTCAATGTATTGTACATTTGGTGTAAGATGAGAACTTTCTAAAGTATTCTGTCCAAGAGCGTAAAGGATGACTACCCCAGCCCTGCTGCCCCTCTCTGGACGTAGGATACCACCTCTGAACCTGGGGCCGCCCTCCTTCCCACATCACAGGGCTACCTTGAGACTTTCGGAGAAGTTTATTCTTCTCCTTATTCTTAGTGCCTTCATCACCCTGTGTTTTGGGGCATTCTTTTTCCTTCCAGACTCTTCAAAACACAAACGCTTTGATTTGGGTCTAGAAGATGTGCTAATTCCACATGTAGATGCCGGTAAAGGGGCTAAAAACCCTGGAGTCTTCCTGATCCATGGACCCGATGAACATAGACACAGGTTTGTTTATTTCAGAAGTTCTGGTACTAACATTTGGCCGAGCAAGGTACGGTTATTGGATCGAATCTGTCTTTTTTTTTTTTTTTTCTTGCAGTAAAATGTAATTTTTCGAGTCGTAAGAATTGTATTGTTAATTCAAGACTGAATAGAAATTCAGTCTTGTACTAAATACTATTATGAATAGTAATCTGTCATGTACTAAGCAGTTTAAAGTTCTTAGAGTCCTAAGTCGTTCTTCTTTTTTGTTTTAAATAGGAGAAACATTTGCGTTCAGAGTTGGGTCTAAGGTGGACATCTGGGAAGGGAGGTATGAAAACTTAACCTAAAGAAACGGTGTCAGAAGCCGTGCCTGCGTTTATTAAGAATATGTTGCAGTCAGTCATTGTGCCATCATGTGAAATCAATGCATTGAACATTGACAGCTCTTTTGGGTTTGCTATCCCACAGGGCTCTCATTTTCTGGCTTGTAGTTGAAGCTTAGTAGCGGATCTTAGCTTTTTAGGATGACAAACGTGGGCAAAATATACCTGTCATTTCTTAACGTGAAAATATCCTGATTTTTGTTCTTTTTTTGAGTATGTGTTGGTGCTCTATGTGAAATCAGTTAAGTTAAAAGGTATCATTGAATCCTAAGTTATTGCACGTTTTGAGGCTTGTAGACAAGATTTATTTTTGTAAAATTTAATTTACTAATTCTCTTTCTTAAGGTAATAGATGGCCTGTGTCAAGCAACTATTAGAATTTGTTTGATTAAGGGGTTCACTCGTATTCAGATGACCAAATCTAAACTGAGCTCTGGGAGAGCATAGCCAAACTAGGATAAAATGGGTGCTCTAGTTAAAGTTTTTATAATTTTTATATTTGTACTCAAAAGAGTCTGGGAAAGTCGTTGACTTTTCTTAAACCTGTCAACTTTTCCCTGCTTCTTAAAGTAATTCTTGAGTATGTGGGAAAAAAGCATCTTCTTGAATTCAGTTCCCATTTGATGATAGTTTTAAGTTTTTGTCAAGCACGGAAGCAGCTTAGGTTCTCATGTGAGCCTACGTTACACGTTTGGGAAAACGCAGTGTCGTAATGAGAACTGGAGTTTCTTTTTTCTCAACCTAGTTAATTCATTGCTTGTGTGAGAGTTCTTTGACTTTTGGATGAACTTTTGGAGTAGTTATTGCTAATACTGTTTCATGCATTCTTTAGTGACTAAGTTAATTTGGATTTTTTGCCATTTTCAACTTTTGTACTTTTGGATTTGTTTCTTTAATTTTGCCTTTTGCTTGTTGTGATTTTAAGAACTCTAATATGATCTGTGAAATATGTTACTGAAAAATGAACACTGAAAATAATTTTCCTTGAAAATCTTAGTTCCTATTGTATTTGTATTACCTATGAAATATATTGAAAAAAAGTGTTAAGACTAGTTTTAGAGCTGATTCACAGCAGCCACACATTAACATTAACATGATTTAGCTCTATTATGAATAGTAATCTGTCATGTAGTAAGCAGTTTAAAAAGCTCACTTTGCATGGTCTGAAAGTTCAAAATAATATGACCACATTTTAGTTTAAAGACATTTACACAAAAATTTCAGTAAATGGAGTTAAAATATGAAATCTGAATGAAAATACAGATGTGTGCCTTTTATTCACATTTTTAAAAGTATATAAATATAGTTTAAACAGGAATTCTTAAATTTATAAAACCCTTGATATACATGCATATGTATTTATACATCTAAAACTCCTGGGTTCCTGAGTTTGGAATGTGGGTTGGGTTGTTGCTCTGACAGCAAGGGTGGCTTGGGAGCCATGCTCTTGAGTTTCGGATGGTAAGAGTCTGGATAACGCGTGATAGAAGTGAGTCTGGATAGATTCCAATGCATTCCTTTGGAATCTGTTCGGTTCCTGAGTTTTGGAAAAAGAGAATTCAAATAGACATCAGGTAGCAAAGGATCCTTGTATTATCTCTGTCTGTTTCTGTGGTTATATCAGTTTACATTTGCTTTAGCATATTATTTGCTGCTGTTTACTGTATCAGAAAAGAGTCTGTCGTAATAAATTTGCTTTTACTTTGAGCAAGGAAATGCATTTTAAATTAAGTGTGTGTTTAAAATGTGGAAACGAAACATCAAATATATAAACAATAACTTATTTAAAAATAATTCAGAAGAGTAGCATTTTTACAGTTGGTACTAAGATCATACATATTTTGGGTTTTGGTCAGAGCTTACCTAATTTAGAAAACAAATCGACAATTTATCTTAATTGTGTGTGTGTGCGCGTGTGTGTAAGGGTACTGGATAGACTGCTGAGGAATGTCCTTTAGCTCGTAAGTAATGCAAAATAAATCATGGCCACCAATTTTTATTTCCAGTATTTAAGAGATACTTGTTTAGTTAGTATTTCTTTATTAATAGATTAGTATAATAATTTGGTGTTTAAGTTCTGGAGTCAGACTGTGTGGTTTCATACCTAGCTTGCCACTGATTAGATCTGTGATACTGAGAAATTTTTAAACTCTATGTTATGTTGTTATCTTTGTATAACAGTGGCATATACCTACTTTACAGTTTGTTGTATTGAAAGAGATAGTGCATGCAAAGCACTCAGCATAGTGCCTAGCGTTTAGTGAATGATCAATAAATGTTAACTATTATTATTATCATTAGTGATTATAATTGTAATGGAATTTTTTATTCGGAATCTGCTTTGCTTTAAATACTGTACATTTTCAGAAAAGTTTGGTACATTTTGATTAATGTTTAAAAGTATACTAGAATCTTATTGTCTAAATGACCCAAACTGGCTGGCAATAAATGTATGCCTACTGTGGCAGGCCCTGCTTTTATGGAACTTTCCATCTAAGGAGAGATGATGGGCATTAAATAATTTTGTTTTTGAGGTATGATGAATGTTACGAAGTTGTATTCAGTGCTATCAGAGCAAGTAATGGGCGAGCTAGTCTATGCAGTGGAGGTGAAGGGGCAGTGGGAATAAGGAAGACTTCATTGAGGAAGTGTGGCTCAGAAGCTTAGATGAGTAGGAGATCACTTAGTGAAGTAGAATTGGGGATTGATGGGAAGAGTGGTCAAAGCAGAAGACACGACATGTGTGAGAGCCGTAAGGTAAAAAACCTTGGCATCACTGAGGATCTGAGAAATGTTAAATATGGCTGATGTAGACTGTGGGTCTAGGTGGTGAGACTAGATGGGAGGTCAGGTTTGGCCTGGTTTCAAGTTTTTTGGCCTCTTTATTGCTGTTACCAAAGTTGGAATTAGTTGTCAGCATTCACAGATCAGGAGATTTCATGTAAAACTCGGGATTTTTTATTTCTCTGGAAAAATTAGAGGTTATGGCAACACAGAATGTATTTTTAGATGGTAACATTCAAGCCACAACCCAGTGCCACTCGGAGTGCGAAATAAGTAAATATAAATGAATCAATATTCAACCTGATTGTTGTTGAGTTTGCAAATTCTAATCAGGATTCTAGAGAATTTGTAGTTAAATATTTTGGTCTTTATCATAAATACTAAGAGAAGTTGTTGAAGGATTTTGATAAAAGCAAGAAAATGACATGATCATTTTAAATTAAAAAAAATTAAATAATCACTTTGGTTGCAGTGATTATTGACTGGATGGTGAGAAGCAGGAGGATAACAAGCTAAGAGGGCCCGGGTCACAAAGGTTATATTGGCTAGGACCGCAGTGGTGATGGTGGAGAATGAAATAAATCAGTGAAGAAAAGTGGTTGGTTCAAGGGTTGTTAAACTATGAAGTTTCACAGAAAATGGTGGTTGGCTAAAGTAGGAGGAAAA